AGACTAATATGAAGGGTCTTAAAGCCATTTTTGTTAGATGGGCAAGCTAGGAAAGTTGATCTACACAAAATAGACTATTATTATTCTACAATATACTTCATTGTATAATCTTTTGTATATTGTTGCCCTATTTGTTCTACAAATATAAATATTTTAATTTTTCTCCAGATATTTCAGATTTTGACTATTTTGGATATTTTGACAAGATGAAAGCCTTCTAGTACAAATTTTCAATTATAATAAAATTGTGCACGTGTTGCCACCTACGTACGCACTCAAAATCTCGCCAAAGCACTTATTCACATCAATCTCCTTCTCCTCCCTTCTCTTGATCTTTGCATAGACAACTCCATCCCTCTTTCAACTCCCATTGCTAAATGCCCTAGAAGTTCCTTATATATGTTGTAAAAGAGAGAATAGGGCTAGGTTAGCAATTCTAGTATGAAGAAAAGAGATCAATATAGGTGATTTTGAGGCTTGAATAATGCTGTGAATCCATGCCAATTTATAATTGCTTGGTGTTGAAAGTGTGTTAGTTAAAGTGGGTTAGTTGGACCTGCCTGCTTGACTTAATATGAGAGCTTTGCATTATATAAATGGCACATATTACGTAGAAAAATGATACAACAACAACAAGAAGAAGCCTTTATCCCACAAAGTTGGGCCATTGTTGGCATCACTTTTTGATGCATGAGTGTAGGATGTCTACCTGCATGACTCGAGATAGTTCACAGTTCGTCTGTAACATCCCGTAGCTTAAGATACCTATCAAGGACTCTCTAGCACTTGCCCAGGGCATAGAGCTAGGGTTGGTGGTGATTTAGCCTTATAGCCTTACCCAAGAGAACCCGCCGTCGGAGGGGCTCATTCAAGACATAGGACATATTTGGTGCCCATTCTGGAGTTTAAGAGTCACCGCACGTCCTTCTAGAGCCTCCCACGTGCAAAGGAAGTCATGGAGTCCTTCTACGCACGCTGAGAGAAGGTTAGGGTTCAGAATATCCTACTCATGTTGCGGCTTAGGGCAATCGTTGGCGACAATTTCCTCGGTGAATAACCAATAAAATACTCAATTTTGAAGTTATAGGACTACATCTCACTCATATAGAGTCTTCCGTAGCTTATCGATTGAGAAAATCCTCGTCCGGCGCTCTCGATGTAAATTAGGGTTTCAGGGCTAAATCGACGCCTAAGCACTAGCTCTGGGTGCCTAGGCGCCCAAAATGCCTTCCCGGACGTTTAAAATCGAGCCGCTAGAAGTCTGGTGCCAGTTACTGGCACCTAGGTGCCCAAAACAACTCAGTAACAACCATTTTCTCGAGGGCCATCCTACAAAAGGATCCTTATCTTCTACCATATTACTTGATTCCAGAAGGCGCTTCCGCTTCTGACTCTTGGAAGCCAACTTTTCATTTGCCACCTTCGTTCAGACCTCCTTTACAATCTACAGGTTGTGCAACTGCTCCTTCATCATTTTACCCGTCAACACACGGGTAACTGTCGCTTCAATGGTATACCGAGGAACCGATAAAAGACAACAAAAAAACATCTCCAAGGCAACGATCATGCTCTTTGGAAGAGACCTGGACTTTGACAAGTTACACCCTAAAGGGTTGGTATGTATTCCCTAGGTGCCAGGACAGGAACCAGCAAGAACTTCTTCTTCTAATCCTTTATCGTATTTTTCAATCCTACTAAGTGGAGTTCCTTGCCTGTTAAGAATATAGCGTAGCCCTCCTTGTCGACCTTGAACGAGAAGAAGTATCTAAAGAGTTTGATCGACCACACAAGATTCTTTTGTTGACAAAAAAGGACAAAAATCATGTTTGCAGCTATGGAGTTTGCATCACTTGTGCCAGAATAACTCCATAGGTGTTGAAGATGCTCTGGAGTTTCTGACACAAGGGCAACCAGATGCCATGCTTGAACTGGACTCGGTAGACTACCAGGTCTTTTCCCAAAGGATCCATTGCTCGCGCCGATCCGAGCGAGTTCCGTAGACCTAAGCTCTCATCAAGAACATGTCTTCGTTGCAGCTCCCTCACTTTGTTCTCTGTCAGAAACGAAGGGTCAGTGCCTTTCATAGAGTCGAACAAAACAAAGTGAGTGTTTGGGGAGAGACAAGATCGGAACCAGTCAGAAGACGAGAGGAGAAGAGATAGTCGAAGAAAAAGAAAGAAATTAAAGCGTGTAAAGTGCAAAGATGCGGCCCCTTCCCCTACTAAGGCGAACATGTTAGACGAAGCATCACATAACGATAAGTATCACACCAAACTTCTTTTAAAAAATTCATTAAAATATCATTCTATTGCGAATAACATTATTACATGCCTCAAACAAAGTGCTTTATAAAGGGGTTTTCCAAGATCTCGAAGAGGACAAGCCCCCTCAACTTTTGGAGAACCATCTCTCCACCTAACCTAATTTGATCCATCCGATAGCTTTTTGTTTGAACTTTTCCAGATCAGACATCTCACAGAGTGCCTCCAGCTCACACAACACCTTGTTTAGCGAGCCTTGAAGAGCAACGAGCTCCGTCCGCAGAATTACTACTTCAACATCTAGGCGAGCATCCAACTAATGCCTAGGATCAGCAGCTGAACCACAATGAGTCTCTCAAAGGAGTCGTTCGGCCTCGCTAGCGGTCCAATATCGCCTGCCCACTGCTCTATGATATCCAGGGATTGCGCTCGCCCCGACCCCCCTGCTTGAGATCTATCTTGGGCGTTTGGTCCGACGACTGATAATTATCGGGACCGACAACGACAGGAGCCCCACATCTTCAACCAGCATAACGACCATCGCGGTAGGGGCAAACTCCGCAACATTCTTTGACAACCCATCATCCTGGTGTTCTTTAGACCCGACCAATTCATCCATAAATCTCTCAATGGAGGAGACAGTCTTAAAGACCTCCTCTCCCTCCAGTACCGAGACACCCCCACTTTCTGCGGCAGTGACCGTGGGAGGGTCCTGACAACCACTCCCCCCAGCTCCTTACCGCTTGCCTCGGTTGGAAGGGTCTGTTCGCCCTCAAGACGCACACCCAAACCATACTCTGAGGCTCCTCGGTGAGACCTCTTCAACGACTGACCTTTCACATCGTTAGATGAGTCGAGGTCAAATTCGGGTTATGCCTGTTTTTCTTTATTGCCACCTTCTTCGTCTTTACAGAAGAGGGAATTTGAAACATTGCCTGCGCCGACCTCTTAGGAATTCACAACGATCCGATTTGATTTGTCAGCCATAATGCACCTAAGTTGTGAAAAGAGAAATCAACGACAAATGATACAAGACACAAATCATATCTATTTATAGAGCACACATGACACATAATCCTAAGGGAAGTCATGTGTTTAGTCAATTCACAAATTTATTGCTAACAATTGTTTAATAATTTTTCTTGTCCTAATTGTAGTTTTCAATATCAAGAAGTAGGAAAACTCGGAGAACTAATATATATATATACCAAAAATATCAGCATGAATCTCAAAGAAAATGAATGACCAAAATGAAAGGACCTCCTTTCGAGGTAAGCAATCAACTGGCTATCCAAGGCCGAGCATGAAGTTGCGTCTCCACACCTAGGATAAGTTCAAGCTCTAGAGATGGTTCCCCACTTGGTAGGGACAAGATCCATCGAAAGCGAAGCGTGAATCATCTTTGCACCGATTCTCGTCAGATACCCAATGTGGGCTGCGACAAGATTTGCTTAAGACCTTGCAAGATTGGGAGATCCGACCGAGACGATGAACTAACCATGTAGGTGAGGCACCAGCCATGTTAGACTCGAGCCGAATGAAAAATGAACCACGACTCACTATAAAAACCGGCCAATGACATTCGACTGACCAACCCCCCGTCAGGATCGAACGACTACCACACAACCGATCACTCTGGTTGATCGTGCCAAAAGACACAGCAAAACCGTCATACGACTGAACACCTCAACCGACCAATACGTACTCCATAGAGCAACGATGCCACTCAGTCGGTCGCCTCAATCGGTCGACTTGAAGCCAGTCGACCAACCAATTACCGCCAACTTTCAAATTCAAATTGAAATACAAATATGACATAAAATCTATACAATCAATTAAAACCTTAATAACATTAAGAACTGTTTTTATAGCCACTCTCTTCTTTATGTAATTATACAAAAGATGTCTCTATAAGTATGACATAAAAATACGAATAAATGAAACTCTCTCTCGGTTCTCCCTACAAAGATCTCAGACTTATTCTACTTTTCATTCCTTCTCTCATTCACTCGGTTCTAAATCTGAGATCGTGATTCACAAAGGACAAACTAGAAATCAAAAAATAATAATATTCTTTTGGGTATTCTAAATAAATTTTAAAGAGGCAAAATTTTGGTAAAAAAACATAGTGTAATTATAAGAAAAATTCATTAGTTGACTCCGTATAAATAGCTATATAAATACATAGCTTGTCTAGCACATATCTTATATGCAATAAAAATAGACAAAGTTCAAATAGATAGCAAGCAACCCTTGCCAATTCTCCTGAAAATCATAAGACAGAGGAAATAGATCATAGTATTCACATATAAAACATATACTTCAATTTTAACACTCATATAATTCGAATTTTTCACGAATATAATCAATTTAACTTCTAAAATGTGAAATACAATACTTTATGCACAAGCAATATGTAAATACATAAAAATTAATTGTTATGCAATCTTCCTTCAATCAATCTTCCTTCAATCAATCTTCCATCCGTTGCCACCCGATCGTAATATGTCGTCGCCCGCCACTGTCCGCCGCTTGCCACCGTAGCAAAATGCCGCCCACAACCGATGTCCCACGCATAATTCTTTAATCAAGTAAATATACAATCAATCAAAGTAAATACGTTATTTTCAATCAAATTTAAATTAAATAAAAATAAAATAAAATATCATATTTATTTTACATTTAATAAAAGAACCATTATAATATTCAAATTTAATCATAGTACTACTCTGCTGCACGGCATTTCATGACTTTGGAGTCTCCGTTCAATTAAACCATAAGTTGTGGAACGCATGAGAACACCCGCACAACCAACCCAACACTCGGTCCATCTTCCTTCTCCGTCGCGCACATGGCTTACCCATCGCTCCTCGTCGCCGTCTTCGCCGTACTGCTTCTAGCCGCCGGCGCCGCCGCACGCCCCGGCGTGCACTTCCATCCATGTAAGACCCTCTTCATCTCCTACACCTTCACCTCCTCCGAATCGTTCGATCTTCCACAGATCCCCGACCATCGCAACCCCTCTTCCTCTCCGTCCTCCGGCGGATACTTTGCCGTTTATCGTATTTTCCGTCCTCTGCGCCCTATCACCTCTTCAAGCGCCTTTGCGCTACCTTCAAGCACCCTCCGCCCGATGATCGTCGATCGCCCGCGCCGCCCAGCGGAGGTGGTCCAGGCGGAGGCCTCCTTCGGCATGAGCTCACTCCAGGAGAGGGCCAAGGATATCCTCGTCGTCGTTGCCGGGCTCCTCTTTGGCGTAGGATGCGGTGCTCTCACCGGCGCGATCATGTACCTAGCGTGGTCTCTCTTCGCTAATCACTACGACATCTGCAGCTATGGCGATGGCGAGGAAGATGAGGAGGATGAATCTCCTAAGAAGATGGGGTATATTAAGATCGCGGAGTCGGTGCCGGCGAAAGAAGGGTACGAGGGACATTAGGGTTTTCGTTAATAAGGCTTTGGGATGATAATACTTTTATATCATACTCTTAATACGTAAGTTTTCACGGACGCATATGTTATCTTTCTGCTATTGTTTTACACTGTTGCCCTATTGTGGGGTGTTTGACATGAATTGATGCGAATTGTATGCCTGATATGGCCATCAATGCATCTTACTTAACTTTCTGTGGATTAATTATTGTTTTCTTTGTTAATATCTTCTTAAATTGCAATCTGCCATGTGACTTGCTTGATTATGCTGGTGGGAATCTGAAGTGGATGAGTCATGGAGGATTTCCCAATTGAACTTATGTAGAAATGATAGGATGGATACTGATTCGAACCAATTTCTTGGATCTTGATAATCGGCAATTCAAGGATGCCTACAATTTGAAAAGTTTGTGGGAGAGGAATAGAGAAGGTAAACTTAGATTTGAGAATGATAAATGACAAATTGAGGATATCGGTAATTACAGAAAATAGGGTTGAGAGAGAGAGAGAGAAGAAGAAGAAGAAAACACAAAGTAGGTGAAAAGCTTACCACATTTTTTTCTATTCCTTCAATCTCTCAACTGGAGAATATTTATAGAATACACTAACTATTGATTCACCAACACTGATTTCTAACTAAGTAATTATATTTATTAACCTAAGTATAAAACTAATTATCTCATATTCTCAATATCCTATCAGATCTCATTTGTGATAAAACACTACACATATAGTTAGACTCCCATAGGTGGGTGCAAAAAGGTGCCTAATGTAAGGTTTTCTCCCCATTACTCTCTTATTCATAGGAGAAGGCCTAGATATTGTTCATTCTCGTAAATTACGTGATAAGTTAAGTGGAGCATTTTTCTGAGTTGCTAACCTTATTTGGTAACTTCTATTGTGCTTCATTTGATAAAATAATTATGGGGCATTTACATTTACACAGGAGTTGAGTGGTATGCATGTAAATCTGTATGTAAATCTTTGAATAATTATATATGGGGTTCACCTTTGACTTTTTTGATTGGCTTTGGATTCTAGGTGGCATTTGTGCAACTTAAGGTGCTAATTTTCCATTCCTTGATTTCTTTATGAATGTAAAATATGCTGTTTTGCTCAGCAAAGACTGAATAATCTGAAACTTGTGTTCACGCCTTTGCAGCAGCTTAGACTTAGAGATAAACATAATAAGTCTGATTATGTTTTGAATTTTCATTTTCCTTTCAACCACTGGCTTGCAAGAGGTGCATGCAATTTTGAGTAGAAAATATAGTCTTTAATATATAAGGCTTGTACTTATATAGGATGAACATATTTTTTTCCCATTATATCTATATTTTCAGGCCATAAACATCAGGCAATTTTAGTAACATAGAATATAAATAATCTGACTCGATTGTCCCTACTCTTCAAGTCTCAAACTGAATAGCCATTCTTATGTATAGCTAAGAATAAATTGTCCATAGTGTTGACTTGTTCAAAATTTATTTAATTAGGACCAATGGACATTGAATACATGGAATGTAATTTTAGTGGTAGTAGATCTCATGACAAAGTTGTAACAATGATTGATCAAATCATTAAAAGGAGTGAACGTTTTAGATATCTCGGGTCCATTGTTCAAAGTAACCGTGATATAGATGAGGATGTTATTAGTAGAATTCAAGATGGTTGGTTGAAGTGGAGGAATGCATCAAGCTTTTATGTCACAGAAAAGTACCACTTAGACAAAGGAAAATTTTATGAGATTGTGGTGAGACCTACGATGTTTTATGGCTCATAATGTTGGCCTATAAAAGAGAAGCATAAAATTAAGTTAAGTGTTGCTCAAATGTGAATGCTTCGGTGGATGAGTGGCTTTACACTTAGACACAAATCACGAAACGAATATATCAGTGGAAGGGTTACTTTAGCTGCAGTGGCAGACAAGATTAAAGAGAGTCGACTTAGATGGTTTGGTCACATTAAATGCCGACCATTTGTTGATCTGGTCATATTGTATAAAAAATAATCTTAATTTATTAGAATTAAATGAAAATATGACACTCAATGAGACACAGTGGAGAGAAATGATTCATTTAGCTGACCCTATTTGGTGGGATAAAGGCTTGTTGTTGTTGTTGTTGGACCAATGGAAATTAAGTCAAGTTTGACGTTCATGTTTCAAAAATCATTAGCACTTGGAAGTAGCACTTTTGACATTTTTAGTATATATCATGCCTTTCTGAAGTATTCTTGTATAATTGTTTCACAAAAATGAAGTGAATTATGATTTTGAATTAAAAGTATTCTAGCATTCTATTCAGAAAAAAATGTTCTTTTTAATATATTATATAACGTGGGACTTGAAAGCTATTTAATCTCATTAGTCTATTCATTGTAAATTTATGTTTGAAGTATGAAGAAATTTGGTATCATACTACAAACTTTTAGTTTTGCATCAAATGCATGCTATCTGATTTCAATTCAAATTGAAACTTAGGGGGGTCAAAAATTGACTGACACGCTAACTTGACCCAAACATGACTCAAAAAAGCCGGGTTAGGGTGAACCCAAATAATTTTTGGGTCGGGTTCGGATTAAAACCTTAACCCTTTTTTTATTTTTTTGCCGGTTTGGGTTGACCACAGACCCTAAACTAACATGACAACCTTAAATTGACTCAAAATCGACCCTCCAAACTGCATTTGATCCAAGATTGACTCAGAATTGGCCAGATTTTGACGCAAAAAGCTATTATTAAACAAGTTATACAAGTAGGGTTTCAGTTGGTGCCCTAAAAGAGGATCATTTTGGGTTGAACTTTTTGAACCATTTAATATTTGGGTCGGGTTCAGGTCAAGTAGTTCCGGGTCAGATCCAAACCTGACCCAAAAACCCAATTTGACACCCCAATTGAAACTTATACTTTATGTTCATCTATTAGCATCTTCATTAAGCTTTTGGATTATTTATTCTCAACAAGATTTGTTATGATTCAAGATCAGTTTAAAGATATTCATTTGTTCTCTCACAAAACCTGGCTTAGATATTTTCTAGCTCAATTCAATCCTTGTTCAAATAGAGCTACACTTGACTATTGTAAAATTTTTACAGCTCTATTATTGAAATAGTAAAAAATTCATTTGTAGAATCAAGTTATTATTGTTAGAATATCATCACTAAATAGCCACCGCATGTCCAATTAATGCTGAAGTGAAAGTAATTGAATAAATATAGACTAGAAAGCTACAACAAACATGGGTATCAAGATTAGCTTATGACCATCTTTTCCAAGAGGAGGCAGAGAATCAAGCTATTAACATCTTGTTTTTGATAACCTTTTTATACATCTGAAGCTGGACAGGGGTTGTGTGCTCACGCAGTTATGGCTGACAGACTGATTCAGTAGCTTTCTACTGTAATTTATTTTTTTTCTTTGTCGATTTTGTAGCTAAACCTTTTTTTTTAATCATTTTTTTAAAACTTCAATTGCTTTCTTACCCACTTGTTCTTCCACCAACTCTCCATCTTCTGCAGTGTTCTGATTCTTTACCATTACCTAGTGAAATTAAAGAAGAAAGAAGAAAAGCAACCTCATACCGCTCGCAGAAAAAAATTAGGAGCATTCAAATACATACCACCCAATTCCTATGTATTTACATATCTAACATGCAAACTTTACTTTTTATATTTTATAGCACCCAAATTTTTCATATCCTATCAAGAATATCACTATTTTAACTTTTAAAAGGTGAAATAGACATTTTCATGTACGAGTAATGGGGCACATATCTGTAAAGATTGAAGTTTAGATGTTAGACATGTAAATACATAGGAATTGAGTGGTGTGCTTGTAAATTTTTCAAATAATTATCCACTTTATCAGAAACTATAGGTGTTTATTGTGTCTTACATGTCTGTTAGTCTAAGCCTCCATTATTTGGGAATGTTGACTAGTGTTATCGGTTCCATACATCTATATTTCTTTCTATTAACTTATCTCAATGCCTTGAGTCCCAGTTACATATAGTGCTATTGTGATTTAGCACTTGTTCTCTCACCTTAGTGGGTTAGTTTTTCTTTATGTTTGCATGATTTCATAAGAAAGGTTGTTCTTTTATCCCAGCAGGAGTAGCGATGGATATATCTTATGATTGTAGAGGGAAGTTATTGATATAATGTGATAGGATTAGTCTATGAAGCATAAAAGATGAAATGTTAATCATTCACTATAGGTTGTTGGTAGAGATAAATTAGAATTTTTAAATTGAACCAAATTTGATTTGAGATAAAATTATTATTTGCATTAAGAATTGTTATTATGTATGCCTTTTGAAAAATAACAAACAGGCTGTACTTAAGAAAGTACAACTTTATTTAAGAAAGTATATGCTTTTAAAAGTAGCAAATAGTAATCATTATTGGAAAAAAAAAAGTACTTATGAGAAAGCTGTAGAAGTTTTGTGAAGAGAATAGTAAACAAAGCTAAATTACATGTTTTGATGACCAAGTCTAGTAGGTTAGATATCAAATAATTATAAATTGGCCAGGGTAGATCATAACATATTTATAAGATTTTTATTAATTTAAGTGTATTTTGAGTAAATATGATGGTCTTTTAGGCAAAAGGTAACATATTAAGGGAATGCAAATTACTATTATGAGTAATCATTAAATAAAAAATTTAGATTTTTTTTTTTGAAAGAACTAAATGAATTGAACTATGAAGTATATTGTAGGTTCATCCCATAAGGTGAGATTGAACTGGATTTGAACAAGATGCATAACTGTTTGGATTTGCAGATTTTTGGTTGGCTACCAAGTATTTTTATGAAGTTTTTTAATGGCTAAGAGACAAATTGTACCAATCCTTGCGAATAAAAGTGATATTTATTATTATGATAATTAAAGGAAAACAAATTTATGTAAAGACAATGAAAAAGTATAAGGTAAGGAAAATCTTTCTAGTATAAGAGATGAAATTTATTTTATGCTGGAAGATTCACCTTTCAGTTAGTTTTATGCTGATGCAATTAATGAGAAAACTTGAACAGAATTCGGTTATTGAAGAAATGGCCAAGGCAGATGATATGATAAATGGCAGATTTTGATCATGTGTATTTTGAGCAAATGATAACATGCTAGTAAGTAAAAAACAAGTAATTAATGGAAGATGGAAATTACCATCATCAGCAATTATTAAATAGAATTTACAAGCCATCG